TCTTGATTTACACTGATGATGCTTTTTGAGTGCTTAGAGGGTCTTCCATTAGCTGCGGTGCATTCTTTGCAGTTAGTAACTTCCTTGGCTTCCTACTTGATGCTAGTTTATTCACAGTGTTGGTGCCTGGCCAGATACATGTCAGAAGTGGTAATATCTGCAACATGAAGTGATTTGAGCAGCCATTATCACTCTTGGCCTATTTTTAGAGCTTATATCAGTGGAGAAAAGGTTGGCTGGCAAACACATTCAAAGCTGCTCTTTTTGGTTGCAATCTCACAATTTATATTTCAATTCTGGTAGGCCAAATCAGTCAACTGCATTAATTTTTGTTTTCCCTTTCTGTGTAACAAGTCTTCAGCATTCCAATTTCTTAGTCACCTTCCACTCTTGAGGGGAAAATAGCCAAGTAACTGTTATCACACTGAAAAATAATTAGTAGTGATTCCTTAATATCATGATACTGTGTTCAGATTTCTTCATTATCTTATAAATGTGTTTTTATAATTATTCAGGAGTCAAATAAGGTCTTTGTATTGTTTTGTAATTTATAGGTTCCTCTTCCATTTCTTTTTTCTGTTAAATTATTTATTGAAGACACAGCAGTTTTCCCAGTTTGAGTTTGCCATTTACATTCCTGTGGTGGTGTTAAACATGTTTTTCTGTCCCCCGGGATTCTTGTTAATAGTCATTAGGCTTAGAGGCTTTATCAGATTTGATTTCTGTAGTATATATTCTCTCTCTTTTACCTTTCCAGGGCAAAAATATAGGTGACATGTAGAGTATTTGATCAGGATGCACATAATATTTGGTTCTCTGATGTTAAGAGCTGTTGATGTTCATTGCCTAGCTTCCTTGGTTAATTACACATAATTCCACAGTCTGAAGGCCTTCCATCTTACCCAATTTTTAGTCTTTTATATCTTCTTTATAGCTCCATCAACCTCTTCTTTTTAGAGCTAAGACCTGAGTTACAGTGGAGAAAAGCTGTTTTCCACTAAATTGTAATTCTGTAGGTCTTTTTATTTCAATCTTGATATCTTTGTTTCCTGAGCTGTCCACATTATCCATGCCACAACTTAAGTGGAAAAAACCAAACATCGAATCCTGGACAATTGAAATAAGTCTTTCAGAAGCCAAATTTGTTTTGAGACAGTGGTGCTTATTTCAGATAGAACACTGTTGTCATTTAAATAAATTGGTATTTGCATATAAAAATTAGAAATAAGGTTATTTTTTCTCTTTCAAAAGATTGGGGACATCTCTGTTATAGAGTCTCGGAATTGAATTTATAGGGGAGATAAGGTGTCAATTTGATTTTTAGTAAGATAATGCTTTTTATCTTGTTTTACGTAATTTAATATGTCTAGTTTCAGAGTACCTGATTTTTTCGTTTTTATGTGTAAATACAGTCACTTTATGTGAATATTTTTTATTTAATCATGTTTGTTCATTGATTCATATTTACAAGTTTAAATGTTGTGAAAATATATTTCACTTATAAAGTAACCTGCTTAGTTTTACCAAATATTTAATCTACAACAATGTATACAAGTCTCTGATATATGAGATTTTAAAATAGTGTTCTGAATGTAAGCTTTAGTAGGCTTTCAGTAGCTGTGTCATTTTTTTTGTCTTATGTTAATATGTGGGAAGATAAAAGGAAAGTTACTCTTAACAGAAGTGGTGATCTTACGGAATATTTTTATTTACAAGTCAGTGGTACTATTAAATTAAACAAGGTTTTTCATTTGTTGTCTTGGTGATTTTATTATTTTTAAAGTTTATTTAAAGATTTTTATTTATTTATTTATTTATTTATTTATTTATTTATTTATTTATTTATATGAGCACTGGGTACAGTCAGAAGCGCGGGAGGGTGAGAGAACTCACCAGAGCCAGAGCAGGGAGCAGAGCAGGCAGAAGGACTGAAGCACATTGCTGAGGGGAGCAGCGGGCGGCGGAGAGGTCTGCGCACCATGTGGGACCCTCCTCCGGTGGCCAGGGAGCAGCTGGGGATCGAACCAGCACTTGCAGAGGCTGCGGGCATTTTCGCAACCCAGCGCTCAACTGCTGTGCTACCTGGGAGGCCCAACTAGGTGCTAATTTTCTTGGATAATTGCTAGTATTGTTTTCCTCACCCATCATTAAATTGTCACAATATCTAATCTGATAGCCAACTTGTCTAACACCATGGAATCTCTTTAAAATTGTTTTGTGTCATTTGCCATGCTAGAAGGAAGTAGGCACATAATATTGCTTGAAATCCCAGCTTTATTCTAGTTTTATCTTCCTGGATTATCTTCCTGGATTGCTTAGTCTCTATTTTTCATATTTAAAAAACAAACTAAGCAAAACCTAAAAACATCTTAATTTGGGTATTTAAAAAAGTATCTAGGGCCTCCTTGGTGGCACAAGGGGTTAAGTCACAGCACTATGAAGCATTCCAGAGCCACTGCAGCACTAGTTTGATCCCTGGCCAGGGAGCTGAACCACATGGTCCAGCAGACCTCTCCTGTCTCTCCCGATGCTCCCCTCAGCAGTGTATTTCATATTTCAGTCAGTCTGCCTGTTCTATTCCCCACTCTGTCTCTGGTGACTCCTCCCTCCTTCTCCCCCCCCCCACCCCCCGCACCTCTGGCCTGTACCCCAGTTCTTGTATGCATGAATAAATAAATCTTTTTAAAAAAAGTTTATAGACTTAGAGTAGGCAAAGTTTGACAAGTAAGGATGGGTTTAAAGACTCGTAACTAAGGGCCTCCCTGGTGGCGCAAGGGGTTAAGCACCGCACTGTGAAGCAATCCACAGCCTCTGCACAGCTGGTTAGGGAGAAACCCACATGGCGAGGCAGACCTCTCCTGTCTCACCCGCTGCTTCCCTCAGCAGTGTATTTCAGTCAATCTGCCTGTTCTCTTCCCTACTCTGTCTCTGGTGGATCCTCTCACCCCCCGCATTTCTGGCCTGTACCCCAGCTCTTGTATGCATAAATAAATAAATCTTTAAAAAAAAAAGACTCATAACTGATTGTCATAGATTTTGTTTTTTTAAAATCTGGATTCCATTTATTGTGTAAGTTACTGCTACTTAAAAAAAATGAGTTAGTTGTAAACTGGAATCTTTTATATCATAACTGTCTTGGAGGCAGAAACTTCTATTATCTTAAGGAGTTAGCTACACTCTTGTTGGCGGGCTCATAACTTTGTTTTTTGTTTTTTTCTTCCCAGCCCCATTCCCAAATATATAAGACATATCTTTATGGTCATGTGGAGGCAGTCCAGTTGCTTTGATTTTTAGTATTGGGAAAGTGTATCTTTGTTAAAATATGAATTTGGTAATAAACATGCACGGTTGAATAGTTAAACTGTAAGCCAGCTAATAATTAGACTTTGAAGTAACCTTTAAAAAAAAAGACTTTAAAATAATTAAACTGCTGTGAGACTACTTAAACTATAATTCTCTTGCTGAATAATTCCTTCCCTTCCAAAATCATTTGATTTGCCTTGAGCATAATTTTGAGTAAGTGCTGTATGGAAACTACACCATTTTCTCCAAATAAAAAGATACCAAAGAAATGGTGGTTGTGTGGTTTCTAGAAAATGAATCAAATCAATAGATTTTTTTTTCTTTAGAGAAAATTATCAAAGGAGCAGTCTTGTTTACCTGTTTAAATGTAAAATGTAGATATGCCTTGATTTACACAAATACACAACTCGATTTATCTCTTGTAAAGATCCAGATGTTAAGAATATTTTGGTTAAAGGAGGTGTCTTTTTGTAGTGTGATATTTAGTCTTAGGTTAAGAAGCAGGCTGAAAATTCAGAAACTGCTCTAAATATATCTGTCTAAATTTATCTAAATATATCTTGGCCATTGGCCTACATATTCTTTTCTTAGAAATGAGGATTATACATTTCAGGTTAACTACGAACAATAATTAATAAAAATAATTAAAATGTTCCAAAAACCTAAATAGAATTGTTTAGTTTTTTCACTGTTGGCACTTATTCTCTATGTTTTTAAATTGCAGCTTTTAAAATAGTTGGCAAATATGCAATAAATCATCAATTTTGTTTTTAAATTATTAAGTATTCTTTTAGTGGGTTTTTCAAATGAAACTACTTATCTTTTTTGCTTTTAAAACATATTCCTTGAAACTTTTTTGGAAGACATTGAGGTCTTGGTTGATTCATGGTTGAATATTTTTGTTGTGTCTGAAGGAGACCAATGGCATCAGTAGTGCCACTGGAGGCCCTAGTCTTCTGATGCTGAGGAACAAGGCCAGGCTAATGCAGATTGTTCTCATGTTCCCTTTTCCATGAAGTCTACAGGTAGAGGCTTCAACTGCAGGTATTTTGTATGTACTATGACCCAGCTCCTACAAAATGTTATGCAGAAGATGACATGTCTGTGTATATATCAGTGTTTCCTGTATACATACACACATATATATTCACATGCATTTTTTTAAAGAGCAAGAATGCAATGTAATAGGCTCATTTGACTCTGATAAAGGTCTAGTATGTAACTGTGCTTTGACCTAGTTGGATTTAGGAGCTCATTTGATCTCATGTGGGCATTATTTTTCCCTCTACTGACTACAGCCTTTTTTTGTGGACTTCATTTTCAGCTAGGCTTTCCTCTCATGAAGGCAACCTTGAGCCCTGCTGCCTCCAAACTAGCAAGTTTCTTCAGAATTGAAAAAAAAAAAAACAAACAAAACTTTTAGTGGCAAACTTAATGTAGTATGTATGAGAAGGTGTTGATTTATAGTGATGCGTACCTGAAACTTACATAATGTTACAATGCAGTGATACTTCAATAAGACATACAGAAAGAAAATAAATTTATTTTTAATAGCTTAAAAATGAATGATTTATTTTTAGAGCAGTTTTAGGTTTTTAGAAAAAACAGAATATAATGAGTTTCTATATAACCCCCTCCTCAGTTTCTCCAATTATTAGCATCTTGCATTAGTTTGGTACTTTTGTTAGAACTGACGAGGTAATAGTGATACATTATTAAAGTTCAAGTTTATGTTAGATTCACTCTTTGCCTTGAAAAATAGAGGTATGTTGTTGAATAAAGGGAATTAGCAGTGTGACAAATGCCTAGTGCCAAATGCCCATCATTATAGAATCTAACAATAATTTTACTGCTCTTTGTGCCACTTTTTCATTCCTCCTTCTCTGCTCCCTCCTGGCAAACACTGATTTTTTTTTTTTAAAGCAGACTCTCTTAATAGACTTCATTTTTTAGAGCAGCAAAATTGAATGGAAGTTACAGATTTTCCGTATGTGTCTGCCTCTACATGCCCATAATCTCCCCCTTTATCAGTATCGCTTGCCAGAGTGGTACATTTGTTAGGGAACCTACGTTGGCACATCATTATCACCCAGAGGCCTTAGTTAACATAGTGGTTTATTCTTGGTGTTGTACAGTTTATGGTCTTGAGCAAATTTATAACCTGTATCCTCCATTATAGAATTGTACAGAGTAGTTTCACTGCCCTAAAATATCCTCTGTGCTTATTTATCTCTTCTTCCCGCCTCCCCTGCAGCCATTGATCTTTTTATTATTTCTCCATAGTTTTACTTTTTCCAGAGTGTCATATAGTTGAAATCATAACCTTTTCAATTAGCTTTTCTTTTTTTTAAAGATTTATATAAGAACTGGGGTACCGGTCAGAGGCACGGGAGGGTGAGAGAATTCACCAGAGATAGCAGGGAGCAGAACAGGAAGATGGACTGAAGACACTGCTGAGGGGAGCAGCAGGTGAGACAGGAGAGATCCACCACACCATGTGGGTTTGTTTCTCCCTGGCCAGCCAGAAATCGCACCTGCACTGCAGAGGCTGCGGACAGCTTCACAGCACAGCTCTCAACCCGCTGTGCCACCGGGAGGCCCTCAATTAACTTCTTTCACTTTAGTAACATGCATTTAATTTTCTTCCATGTCTTCCTGGATTGGTAGTCCATTTTGTTTCAGCACTGAATAATATTGCATTTTGTGTGTGTACCACAGTCGATTTATCCATTCACTCTTTAGCATTTTTGACAAAAAAAATCACAGTATAAAAAGAATAGAATTACAGCAGAAACCCCTTTTTTCTTGATCTTAATTACTGTCAATAACAAATATTTATTGAGCAGCTCATTATTACAGGTATAATGCTAAGTGGGATATTCTGTGGAGTGAGTCGTGGTGAAGAACCTGGCCTCTGGAGTCTCTGGTTAAAATCCTTACTCTCCTCTAGTATTGGTTCTTCAAGTTTGTGCATATTCTCTAATTTTGAACCTATCTGTAAAAGGGTAAAATATTTATCCGAGGGACTGAATTATGCATGTAAATGCTTAGCTCATTTTCTGGTAATGAAAGAGTACTTGATTTTAATGTTATTGTTTATATGTATATATGTATGTATACAAACAGGTGTATTTGTATCCTTGGATGTCAAACACGTCAGTCTTGCCAAAGGCTGAATTTTTTTTAAAGTGTGAAATTATTACTAACATATTACTAAAACAACTGCTCCTCTTACCTGCATAAATTCAAGGCATATATTGAGATGTGTCTAAGTAGTGTGCTTCAGCAATATGTAACATGTCTGACTTTAAAGCGTTCATGTATAGTTTTATATATACATGTGTGTTTTCCTTAACATCAGATAGTGTCTGTATTCCTGTTTCCTACTTTTTAAGTTTTGAGATCAGGAACTAAAGCACAAAGATTGAGACTTATCTTAGGTTATACAGTTTGTGGCAGAGCTAAGACAAAAACCCAAGTTTCTGACTCCTAGTTAGATTTTTTTGTTTCCAATAAACTGCTACCTGCCTCCTCCTCCTTTTAATTTCATATTTCTATTAAATATGATGAGATTCAGCAGAGAAAGAAGTAGAGAAAATGGTATGGATGCGCAAAGATTTGGTTGTTTTCAATTCACTTTTATTTGGTGTTTTCTTAGGACTGCCAAGGATACTTTAATGTTAAATAATAAGAAAATACAATCCCAGCCTCTCCTGAGCCTTAGACCTCGATATTAAATATCTCAGTCCTCCCTTAACATTGGATGGATGGCTCAAAGGCATTTTATACTCCCTTTGTGTAATATAAATCTTCATTGTACCTTTCCCCTCTCCATTCACTACGTGTCTTTCAAATTCCCTACTTAGTGATTGGTGTTATCATCAGTCTAGTTGCAAACTCCATAACCAAAGACTTGACCTTGACCACCTGTCTTTCTCAATCCAAGTATTTGCTCTTTGATCTCTCAGATCTTTCCATGTTTCTTTGTTGCCATTTCTCTCAGTCCAGAACTGTTGTGATTTATTTATTTATTTTGCCTTGCCTTCACATTGTTCTACTGACGTTTACTTTTCTCTCCTTTTCCATCCAGAGTGATCTTTTTGAAATGTAAATCATCTTAAATCTATGAGTCCTTCCCCCATTTAATAAAATAGTGGATTCCTATTATTCCTCAGGAAGCCTTCTTAGCTCTTCTAGCCTATGTCAACATTCTTTTTCTCCTCAATAATAAATTTTATACTTCTTTGTATGATTATTCAGTCACCTTTCTTAGTCTCTAACTTCTGCTAGGAAGGTGTTGTATATTTTCCAGTGCCTGGCACAATAACTAATACTACGTAGTCAGTATATATTTGCTGAATCCATGAATGAATCCAGATGACTTTGTTTATAGAGAAGTGACTTGTTCTATGTTTGAATTGAGGTGAAGAGAAAGAATATAAAGATTTTAAGAATGCTATTAATAAAATCTACTTAATAATTTTTCTTTCATGGTTCATGCTTTTGGGGTTGCCAAACCTAAGGTAACTCAAATTTTCTGCTTTAACCTAAAAGTTTTATCGTTTTGCATTTTATATTTATGTCTGTAATCCATTTCGAGTTAATTTTTTTTTAAAAGATTATTTATTTATACAAAGCACTGGGTACAGTCAGAGTCACTGGAGGGTGAGAGAATTCACCAGAGCCAGTGCAGGGAGCAGAATAGGCAGAAGGACCTAAGTACACTGCTGAGGGGAGCAACGGGCAGCAGGAGAGGTCTGTGTGCCATGTGGGACCCTTGCCGGTGACCGGGGATTGAACCGGCGCTGCAGAGGCTGCGGGCAGCTTCACAACCCAGCGATCAACCACTGCGCCACCTGGGAGGCCCCTCAAGTTAATTTTTGTTGAAGTTGTAACAGAAGGTGTAATCTGTTTCTAGATTTTTTTCATATGGATGTTCAAGTGTTCCAGCACTATTTGTTGGGTAGACTCTTCCTTCTCTATTGAATTGCTTTTGTTCTTTTGTGAAAGGTTAGTTGATTTTGTTTATGGGTCTATTTCTGGACTCTATATTTTGTTCCAATATCTATTCTTCGGCTAGTAAGAGGTCTTTTTTACTGTAGTTTCAGATTGTCTTGAAGTTTGTGTCTATTCTCCAACTTTCAGTATTTTGTAGACTTTTATTTTTTGCCTTTCCATGTAAACTTTAGTACCACTATGTCAATATCTACAAAATTACTTGCTCAATTTTGGTTAGGAATACACCAAATCTGTAGGTCAAGATGGGAGAATTGATATCTCAACAGATGAACATGGACTGTTCTCATTTATTTATATTGTTTTGAAGATTAGGAGGTAAAATTTAATTTTTCATTTTACTTAAATTTCTGTGACAGAGAAAATATTTTTGGGAGTAGGAAAATAGTAAAGAATTTTATTTATTTATTTATTTAAAGATTTATTTATTAATGCATACAAGAAATGTGGTACAAGCCAGAGGTGTGGCGGGTGGCAGGGAGAGGAGTGTGGTGAGAGGATTCACCAGAGACAGAGTGGGGAACAGAACAGGCAGACTAACTGAAATACACTGCTGAGGGGAGCAGTGGGTGAGACAGGAGAGGTCTGCTGAGCCATATGGGCAGCTCCCTGGCTGACTAGGGATCAAACTCTGCTGATAGCTTCACAGTGCTGTGCTTAACCCTTGTGCCACCAGGGAGGCCCAGTGAAGAATTTTAAATATTGAAAGCAAGAACAGATTCACATGAAAAACAGATTTTTCAGTGTTTCTTGTAGACTGTTTTGTGTTGAATTTTTTATGTGACAGATATATTATCAATTATAAGTAGAAGAAAGGACTGCAGTAGACTTACTCTTGGAAAAAAAACTATCTTAAAAATTCTATGCAAAACAGTGTTGTCTTTGGGAAGACTGTTATAAGCCCTATCAGTTGGCATTTGATGCTAGATTAGGTAAAACAGAGTTATCCTATGTGGACAATCCTGCATTACAAGGGAATAGACAGGATCACTTGTAAAGCTTTTATTTTTACTTAAATTTCTGTGATAGAGAAATATTTATAGCCTCTCGTCCAGTGAGCAAAAGCGTTCTTGTTCTGCCAGTAAAACATTAACCCTCTTTACATTGCTTTATTGTCTGATTAGACATAATTTGGTTTAGAATATCGTTTTGTGCAAGATAGCAAAGTTGAAATTCACGAAATATCTAATGCTCTGGCTTCTGTAGGTGAAAAGCGCGGTGTGTTAACTGATTCATACAGATCCTGGATAAGGCATTAACTGCTGTATCTCACAGTTCTGGAGTGGTGATATGAGACAGTGCAGGAGCACTAGCACTTATAGTGCCCCATTTTACATGTCTGTAGAGCAAAATCTTGCCTAGAAGCAGTATTATTCAATGAGTTGTGCTTGTGTCAACTTGTGATTTCAATGGAAAAATGCCTGTAGCAACAGTAAACTTATAACAGCAGATGACTTAGGTTTATTTGTTACATCAGGAAGGACAATATAGTTTCAGTTTTCTCATTCATTTTTATGTAGTTTATAGTGGTATGAAGAGATACTTGCCTGACTTTAACTTGCCTGTGATGTTTCTGTGCATCTCACAGTTTATCCTGCTTGAGCTGTGTTGCGCTCTTGAATATATGGATTAATGTTTTTCATTAAATTTAGAGGAGATTTTAGGCTATTTGTATTTCAAATGTTTTATTTTCAAATATTTTGTCTGCCTCTTTCTCACTTTCTGGGATTCCTATTACATACATGTTTGTATTCTTGATATTTCATACACTTCTAAAGTTCTTTAATTTTCTTTAATCTTTTTTCTCCTGTTGAGATCATAAAATTTCTGCCAACCTATAATTATATTCACTGATTCTTTCTTCTCCTGTCTTGAACCTGCTGTCTAGTGGATCCTGCCTTTCAGTTTTTGTACTTTTCAACTGCAGTTGATCCTTATAATAATTTTTACCTTGATGGTGTTCTCTATTAATTAATTCATTGTTATTATAATTTCCTTTAATTTTTAAAACATTTTTTCGTTAGTCTTTGCCTGCTAAGTCCAACATTTAACAATATTAGTTTTTCTAGCAACTGTCTTATCTCCCTTATATGAGTTATATTCCCTGTTTCTTTAAAAATCTCATAATTGGGCCTCCCTGGTGGCTCAGGAGTTAAGGACAAAGCACTATCAAGCTATCGCCAGCCGCTGCAACATGAGTTCAATCCCTGGCCAGGGAGCTAACCCACATATGGGACAGCAGACCTCTCCTGTCTCCCAGTTTCGCCTGCTGCTCCCCTCAGCAGTGTATTTCAATAGATCCGCATGTTCTGCTCCCCACTCTGTCTCTGGTGAACCCTCTCCCCTCCCCCACCCCGTCCCACTGGCCTACACCCCAGTTCTTAAATACATAAATAGATAGCCCCAGTTCCCTGCACCGCGGGCCTACAACCCAGTTCTTGTATACATTAAAT